AGTCATCATTCTTGAACACTCTGTCTAGGAAGATGGTTTTTAAGTAAACTTCGGTTTCACCATTCGACCTGGGAGTTTTTAAGAAGTAGGGTGTTGATCATGCAGGCTAGTTAGAGCGCCACTTGATCTTTACCTGAAATGAGGTTGACTTTCATATGTTGCTAATACAATCAAAGCCTTGCAATAGAAGTTGTTGAAGTACTGCAATAGTAATATTGATTTGCATCCTATGAATGTTTTATATGAGTTTTAAATTCCTTAAGGGAAGGAAAAATTGTGCTAGTGGCAATTCTGAAGTCTCATTGTTGAGAGACATTCCGAATAAATATGAACTCAAACATATTCCTAGTTAAAGGGTAATTGTGATCAATTGAGATAACCAAGTTTGTTGAAATATATTCAACTGTTGAGCATGTATCAGGCAAAGTGCGAAGCTTCTATAATGCTACACAAAGCAAATCGGCAAAACTCAGTCTACAAAGGAGCTAAAGTTGGGCACCAAATATCAGTCTGGGTAAGAGATCAAATACGTTTGACAAAATTATTTGTAAGTGTTGCATTGTGGGGGTAATAAACTCCTTATATTTTCATCAAAGTTTCTCTGTGGTATTGAGAATAATGATGAAAGAGAATGTTTCATGTTAAACATGAAAATCTCAAGGGATTATTTACGAGTAAACGAAGTACTCGTCAAAATGCATGTAAGTTTGGTCAAAAGAATCAACTTACTTGAGGGCTAATTATGAGGATTAGTCGTTGACTCATTGGAATGACTTGAAGTCCAAGTGGTAATGAATTCGTGGTGAATCCTACTTCTGTGGTCAAACGAAGCCATGAAAAGAGTTACAAAATAGTACACTAGTTGGTCATTCCGACAGTGTGTGTACTTGTGAGGTTGAGCTACAGCTCTTAATGAATTCATAACTCTTTGAGAAAGGATGGTTTTGTTGAGACAAACCTAATGAATTCACCGCATGTGAGGTTGAGCTACAACTCTTAATGAATTCATAACTCTTTGTGAAAGGGTGGTTTTGTTGAGACAAACCTAATGAATTCACCGCATAATGACATGAGTACAAAGTGCTCTTGGTGTCTTATACTCAATTGGGATGGTCTATGTTGAGATAGACCTAAAAGAGATCCCTAACTTGAGTAGAAAAGGGCTAACCGCCTCTTATGAAAGATAATAGGATTATCCCAAGAAGCTGAGTGGCTAAGAAACATGGAGATAACCGTGTAATTGTGGGAGTGCCCAACACCTTCACCACATTGTGATTCACAAACTGTCATTTGTGTTGCGCAAAACAATGTCTACTATGGGAAACGTAGACACATAAGAGTCAGACATGAGTCTGTACGGCAGCTAATAATATATGGGGTAATCACAATGGGTTTTGTGAGATCTGAAAGGAAAATTGCAGATCATTTCACAAAGGGCCTAAACAGAAAGGTCGTCCTTGACGCATCAAGGGAAATAGGTATGGGACCCATAAATACTCTGTAGCCGATCATGGTGGTCTGCGATGAGGTAGACTTGACAGAGTTGAAGGTCTATCCTAGAATAGACCTAACAGGGGATATCTCAGGGTCGTGAGTATGACCTCATGAGATTCAAGGCGACCAAAGCAAATTAAGTGCGTTGAGTTCAAACTTTGTCTATTCGATGAGTTCAAGATCAAATTCACTCCCGTCTAGAGAAGTACTTAATGTCACTATATGACAGTTCAAGTTTTATACACTGGCATGAAAATTTGTTTTGATCGTCATCAGGCAATGACAGCATCAACCTAAATCCCTTTAATGGTGGGGGATTGTTGGGAGCTTTTAAAAGTCTGTTTTGTGATAGACTTTGACAGGATAGAAGTCCATATTTGAGACAGACGTAACATTCTTTAATACTAAGGGTGTTCATAAGAAGTCAAAGAGTTTGACTTTTGTAGAACCTGCCTTTTGAGTTGATGTGTGTGTGCATTCGAGTTCAAAATTTATCTAACCGGTGAGCTCAAGATTCATATCACTCTCGGGAAGAAAATTACTCAGTGTCACTACATGTCAGTTCAAGTTCTCAAACACTGACATTAAGATCAGCTCATTTGTATTGCTCAGACATTATTTTTTTTCTTTCCTCTTTAAGTTTGTGGGGGATTGTTGGGAAAATTAAAGATGAAAGCATTTAATGTTGGTCCATGTCCACCTACACCCCTTTGACTTTGTCATTGGAATAAGAAATGGAGAATCCATTTCATTTCATGGGCGCACAGTGCGCTCCTTTGTAAGGAGCAGCGCCTTTGGCGCTAAAGTGTGGACAACACACTGTGTCCGTTATGTGGGTGGGATGGAAGGGCTGCTTACTATAAATAGCAGCTCCGAACATCGTTTCAAAACACACCTTGAATTCGAGTCCTTTATTCGATTCTCCTTTTCCTCCCGTCGTCTGAGCAATAGTGAGGTTCGCCTACGCGATTGCTAGTGCAAGCTATCCGTAGTAGGTCTGTGTAGCCGGTCGAAAGCGTGCCAGGGTTCTAACTGCACCGTTACCCGGCAAATAACACTTTTAAGGTAGTGTTATTATAACACGGCACAGATTTTCTTTCTACCATACATCCGTAGTGTCCGTGCGTCTTAAAAGGCTTCCAGATCGCGCGTTGGCGTTGCAATTTTCCCCAACATGTTCTTGTTTGTGGCAAGTGACAAGTGTTTCCAGTTAATGATCGATATTGAACATTATTTCCATAATATTGTTTTGCATGTTCATTATCACTTATTAAGCTAGGACTTGCACACTCAATCTCTAAAAAGCATTCTAAATTCTTCTATCTGAAACTTATTTGTTTTTCTTTTTTTCCCCTCTTCTTGGGAGGGATGCGGGAGGTTTTGAGTTGTATATGATGTTTTTTGTCTGTATGAGGTGCTTAATTCCAGCTTTCTAGTAACAAATGAGCTTTGTTACTTATGGAACTTTGATGGTGGCTGACTTTTTACTTATGGAAGAGCTAGCGATGTTTAACCCTTCTTTAGGGTTGTTAACGAACCGAACATAAACGAACGGAGGTTGTTCGTGTTCGTTTGTTAAGGTTTTTGAAAATCCTGTTTGTGTTTGTTTGTTAAGCGTTCTTTAGTGTTCGTTAACGTTCGCGAACGTGTTCGTTAACGTTAATAAACACGTTCACAAACATGTTCATTAACAAGCACATTGACGAACATATTCATTTACGTTCATGGACACTTAATTAATTAACAAACAGCTTCACATGTTCATGATCACAATTCGTTCGTGAACAATAAATAATCTACGTTCAAGAACAATAGTCAAACAAACAACACAACTACAAAACTAATATAATATAATATAATATATATGTTTGTGAACATATTCGCGAAGATTATTAAACGAACACAAACGAGCTTGTTCACGAACATTATTAAACGAACATAAACGAGCTTGTTCACGAACATTTGTAAACGAACACAAACTAGCTTGTTCACGATCTCTTAGCAAACGAGCTTACAGTTGTTCAAGCTCTGTTCGTTTATTAACCGAGCTTTAAATTTTGTTTGTTAATGTTCGTTTACCTTAACAAACGAACATAAACGAACACTTATCGAACACGAACACGAGTAGTGTTGGTCTCGGTAGGGTCAGAGAGAGTCTAGAGGGGGGGGGGGGGGGGGGGGGGGAGGGGTGAATAGACTCTAATCGATTCTTTTCGATTATTCTCCTTTCGGAGATATATGCAGCGGAAATAGTATCTTATGTTAAATTTACTTTGCACTCTTTCGTGTTGGTAAAGATTTAGCGTTTGGTCGATGTTGTATGATATGCAAGACACGAAAGTAAAAGCGATAAATAAAGAGAGATGGACAGAGAGATTTTTATAGTGGTTCGGCCAACTGTGTCTACTCCACTCTTCTTTCACAACTCATAAAAGGGTTTGCACTATCACTCCTAGTACAAACTACTTCAAGCTGGCTTCCTTGAACACTAAGCCAAACAGCCACTTGAAAGGTTTTTCAACTCCTAGAGTTTACTCCGCCTTTATCAACTTCTTCCTAAGCAGAGATGTTAGAAAAGTATTCTGGTGGTTCTCCAACATGTTGAAGCTCGTCTTGATGTCTGGATAGATCTTCACTTGAGAAAAGAGCAAGACAGATTCAAGTTGTGAAGTATGAGGATGGATATGCCTTTGAAAGACTTCACAACAAACACTGGTTATGAAAAGCTTGACAAGATGGAACTGCTTTTAAGAGCTTTTCTTAAGATTGCAAGAGTGAGTTAACCAGCACCTACTTCAATGGAGAAGAGAGGTATTTATAGGTGGAAAAATACATCCGTTGGAGAGAGATGAAAATTTCAAACCTAAAAACCAGTGTGTATTACTAAGTGGACAAAAGGCATTTAATGCACTTGTACTGTATAGCCATTGGAGCCAAAGTCACTATGGCTTTTGTCCTTGATTTCTGACAAGATGGTACAAGTCTTTCCAACCCTCAACTCTTAAAAAGACGTTGATAGAGGCGGAGTAAACTCTCGGAGTTGAAAAACCTACACAAGTAGCTGTCCGGCTTAGTGAACAAGGAAGCTAGCTTAGCTTGTTTAGTTTGTACTAGGAGTGATAGTGCAAACTCTTTCACAAGTTGTGAAAGAAGAGTGGAGTAGGCTTAGTTAATAGCCGAACCACCCTAAAAACCTCTCTCTCACTCTCTATTTACTTTCGATTATTTACTTGCCTTATATTGCATACATACTGATCAAACCCCAACTTTCCATATCAAAAGCGTGAAAAGAATACTCTAAAACGAGCTCACATTTTCCGTTGTGCATTACTCACCGAAAGTTGTTTTCAAAAATTCGAGTAGAGTCTATTCACCCCCCCCCCCCCCTCCCCCCTCCCCCTCTAGACTCTCTTTCGACCTTACTTGGACCAACATTGTTTTTATCTTCATATAAATTTAATATTTTTTTTGAATTTCTAGTTTTGTGCAATTTTAAGGGTGGCGCATGGTGCGTTACTGCTCATGATTGCTTGGAGTGTTCTAAAAGTAACCTTGGTACTTCAACCCAAACAAATGCCAGTATGGACTTCGGATTCATATTAACAAAATATTAGAAATGGAATCCTGGTATTAATACATTGCAATGTAATTTTACGTGTTTTGTTATTTATATTTTATTTATTATACTTATACATACTTCAATTATTAACGAACTTAATTTTTCATGGATAGGATATTATAGAGTTTTGCAGCTGGAACAGAGTCTATGTTCACTATTGTGATGAGTCCTCATTTATGGGAGATGTTGAATCCGTGGTAAATATATATATATATATATATATATATATATATATATATATGAGATAAAATTTAATTTAATTTTTAATATATATGATCTGATCTACAAATATATTTTCATGTTCAACATTATATTGGATGTTTTCATCTTTAATAACGTTTCAGAGTAATAATGTAACTTACCGTGGAGCAAGGATTTTCAATGAAATAGGGGAGGATTTGTTTGGAAGGGGAATGAAGATTGCTCAAAATGTATGTTGTAGTATTTTGTGTGTTTTTAAAATTTTGGTTTTCTCATGTATTTAATTGGCTTTTTAAACTGCATTGCATGTATAATAGTCTGAAAATTATAGTCATTTCTAGTCTTAATTAAATTACACACAATGTAACATCAGCAATTTTTTATTAAATAATTAATATTTTAGGCAATTCTTGCTAAAAGCTCTGCCGGTGGTCGGCCTGTAATTATACATTGTGATCGTTTTCGATCTCGTTTACCTGAGGCAGCCAGGGTGAAATGTCTTGCTGACTCTGCATTCTTTTTACATAATGCGTAAGACTACTTATAATAATTAATAATAATATTCATCCAAAATTAAATTTGTGTATTCTCTAATAATAATATAATTAGATGACCCCTTATTATATATATATATATATATATATATATATATATATATATATATATATATATATATATTGTCTTACGTACAATAATTCTTTAGGTTTTTTACAATGAAAAACAAGAGTTTTGATCTTGTGTTCCAGTGATTGATTGATCTACATGTATGGTAGACATTATTTTTACAATATATATATATATATATATATATATATAATGATAATTTAAACAGTCATTAATTATTTGACTTTAATTAATAATCTTCAATATGCATGTAGGGATCTGCACCAATGCTTCCATCATTCTGCAATATTGCAAAACTCTCCAAACCAAGTTTGGTAAGTATTTATGTTTATTAGTTTTATACATATATACATTCACTGTGATACTAATTAATTAAGTCTAACTTAACTTGTTGAATTAACATTCAATGCTTTTTTTTTTCCTCAATACATACTGCAAAGTATTGCAACTAACACCACTATTTATTGTGATGTCAGCCTTTAATCGAGTCCAGGTTAACTCGCTCGATCGTTATATAGATACGAATTATAAAGTACATACTTATCCATTGACCTTATTTTAATATTAATATACTTTTATATGTTTTAGATTCATTATGATTTGTCATTTGAGCATCTAGCTTGCCTAGTGAACAAAAATTGCAGCTTGGTTAAGATGACTACAATTCAAGGTGAGTAGACTTAATAAAATTAATGATATAACATATTAAATAAGGAAGAAAGATAATGTAACATTATTTAATGAACTAACAAGAAGTAATAGTCTTTAATTATTTATTTATTTGATTCAGAAGTAAGATTGGAACTACTTGATGCATTACCAACCACAAGTAGTCATTCTTTCAAAGGCATTTGATGACTAACTAGTTGCATCACTCATGATGTCACTATGTTTTCTTGGGTTGCTCCAAAGATGATGCGCATTGTAGACAACAAGGTAATATTAATATGTCAATTTTTTTTCATTAATTAATAACCCAAATCATAATTTTAATTACCAAAATGACCTATTATAACATATATTCATATTGAATTAGTGTCGCATTATATTTTGCAGACTTATCCCCAAGTGTTTGTTGATTGGTTTTATGATCGGTCAGCAATTCAGATAATTGACTTGTCTACTGAAGCAAAAAATTGTACTGAATTTAGAATTCTTATAGACCACAAGAATGAAGCTTGAACAAAAAGTTGTATTGACATACCAGTATGGGATTGTATTTATGGAAATTCCCATATTGGTATATCAATACAACTTTTTGCTCAAGCTTCATTCTTGTGGTCTATAAGAATTCTAAATTCAGTATAATTTTTTGCTTCAGTAGACAAGTCAATTATCTGAATTGCTGACCGATCATAAACCAATCAACAAACACTTGGGGATAAGTTTGCAAAATATAATGCGACACTAATTCAATATGAATATATGTTATAATAGGTCATTTTGGTAATTAAAATTATGATTTGGGTTATTAATTAATGAAAAAAAATTGACATATTAATATTACCTTGTTGTCTACAATGCGCATCATCTTTGGAGCAACCCAAGAAAACATAGTGACATCATGAGTGATGCAACTAGTTAGTCATCAAATGCCTTTGAAAGAATGACTACTTGTGGTTGGTAATGCATCAAGTAGTTCCAATCTTACTTCTGAATCAAATAAATAAATAATTAAAGACTATTACTTCTTGTTAGTTCATTAAATAATGTTACATTATCTTTCTTCCTTATTTAATATGTTATATCATTAATTTTATTAAGTCTACTCACCTTGAATTGTAGTCATCTTAACCAAGCTGCAATTTTTGTTCACTAGGCAAGCTAGATGCTCAAATGACAAATCATAATGAATCTAAAACATATAAAAGTATATTAATATTAAAATAAGGTCAATGGATAAGTATGTACTTTATAATTCGTATCTATATAACGATCGAGCGAGTTAACCTGGACTCGATTAAAGGCTGACATCACAATAAATAGTGGTGTTAGTTGCAATACTTTGCAGTATGTATTGAGAGTAAAAGCATTAGATGTTAATTCAACAAGTTAAGTTAGACTTAATTAATTAGTATCACAGTGAATGTATATATGTATGAAACTAATAAACATATATACTTATCAAACTTGGTTTGGGGATGATGGAAGCATTGGTGCAGATCCCTATATGCATATTAAAGATTATTAATTAAAGTCAAATAATTAATGAGTGTTTAAGTTATCATTATATATATTAAAAATTAAATTTTATCTTATATATTTAAAAAAATAAAATACCACGGATTCAACATCTCCCGTAAATGAGGACCCAACACAATAGTAAACATAGACTCTGTTCCAGCTGCAAAGCTCTAATAATATCCTATCCATCAAAAGTTAAGTTTGGTAATAGAGTTAATACCTCTAATGATCCTCCGAGTATTGGGATATTACCAGATGTGGTCTTCCGACTTTAAAACGACCAGCATACATCCTCCTAGTTATAAAAAATAACCACTCGTGATCCTTGGTTAGATTTTTTGTCAAATAAGCATTAAGTTGGAGGACAAACTGGTCTTTTTATCAAGTGAAAACATTGATTAGCAAGAGGGAGCTTGGCCTAAGATTCTTCGAAGACCGAAGAAGAAGAAGAAATAATGGCGTCCGAATCCAAGTAGCAGCAGTAGCTTCACTTTGTATTGTTCCCTCTAATAGCTTCTTGTAACTGCTTTTCTAACTGGTTTTGTTAGCTTAGTTAGCTCTCCCCCCTTTCTTGTTTTAGCACTTTCCCCTCCATATATAAACAGAGGAAAGCAGCTTGTATAAGTTTTTTCAGTTACATTGAAAACAATCAAACAGTTCTTCTTTCTTCTTTCTCCAAGCTCTGTGTTGCCTCCTCCATGCAACAGCTGAACGCTTCGTCGTTTGCTCCCAGGTGTGTTCTCTCTGAACATTTGAGTTTCATGATTGATTTAGAGCTCAGATTGTCGCGGTTCGTTAATAGAATCGAACAACCTCCGCTGAGGAACAGACAATTCGCGAGCATCATGGACTTGTCGTTCCCGGAATACCAGAACAACGTACGCGATGGATTCTGAGGTGACAACATGTTCCGGCGAGACCGCCTGAATATGTTCTCCACCAGGTTGACAAATTAAATGCCCTGACATCCTCCCTCATCGCGAAACGCCGCACGATTCTCGAGCACAAAGACGGCGCCGCCGGCGACAGCATTGAAACGTTCACGACGAGGACGTCAATCTCCGCCGGCGACACCCCGGACTTTACGAACAGCTTCTCCAATGTGACGAAGAAACACTCCTCCATCTCCTCGATCCCGTAGGCGAGGGTCGCACAATACTCCCGACCTTCTAGAACGTTCCGAGGGGCGTAGGTTTCTTCCCCAACACCGGAGTTTACCACGGCGCGCAAACACAAGCCAACTTATAGGATGGAAATAAGGGTGATGGTAAGAAGAGGATCATTAACTCATCGGGGAAAGTATTGAGCGTGGGATTCGAAATAGGGAAATTCTCAAACTGGGATACCAATCAGGGAAAGTGCCTTTCCCTTAGGCGAAATTGATGTTTTGTAATTTCGCCTAAGTGTTTGGCAACATAAACATTAACGTATTTACAAAGCTATATACCGTATTAATTTAGTAATTGTGTATAATAATGCCGTGTTAACTGTATTAATTTAGTAATTTTGTATAATAATGCCGTATTAATTTTGTTCTCCTGTATAATAATGTTGTGTTGTTAATTAAATATTTAAATATAAAATTGTCGTGATATTTAGTAAAAAATTTATGAGTAGACAATAATACAAGTAAAAATAATAATTAAAAGTGAAACATAGGTACAGTATAATAAAATCATCGAAACGTGTAACAGGATTATTATTATACGTCTAAAGTGTAAAGTTCACCGTAGACATGGTCATTAATGAAATATTTAACCGACCATGGATAAATATTTTCAACATGACATGTACCAATGACCAACAGGAGAACACTGTTGTCCTCCAAACTGAATAAAACGACATCGTCCTCGGTTGTATTAATATTAAAATGTGTTGTTATTTCTTCCCACTGTTCTGTGAAAAAAGTTAACGATGTGTCAAAATATAGGTCTAGCTTTCATGTTGAGATCTTGATAATTAATTTCTTTACTGCAATATTTTTTTGTTTAACAACATCAATCACAATAGCTAAATTATTTGAGGAGTTTGCATCAATTATTTATTCGTCCTTCTACTAATTAACATCAAATCAACAAAATAATCGAACACCTTAATTTATTTAACGTTTATTCTGCCTTTTTTTTTCTAAAAAAATTGTAATACGATCGTTCAAACGTAAATACGTTAATTTAAACCTATAAATACATTGTTTTATAAGTAAATACATTGATTTTTAAGTAAATACGACGTTAATATGTAAATACTGCACAAATACGGTGGTTCAACGCATTTCAAAAATAGACATGGAAATTGTCTTTCCCTTAGGCGACATACCAAAAGTACAATTTCGCCTAAGGGAAAAACAATTTCCCTCTTTTGTATCCCATGTTAGACATTTCCTTTTCAGGGAAACCATGTTCAAATTCTTCCTCACCGGCAAAATGACCCGGTAAGAAGACAAGTTTGTCCCCCAACTTAATAACTATTTAATAGAAAATCTAATGGAGGATCACGAGTGATTATTTTTTGCAACTAAGAGAGCATGTACGGGTCATTGTAAAGTCGTAAAATCACAGCTGGTAATACCTCAACACTCGGAGGACCATTATTGGAGCTATTAACTCTTCGTTAATAATTAAAGTATGTATAAGTATAATAAATAAAATATAAATAACAAAACACATAAAATTATATTGCAATGTATTAATACCAGGATTCCATTTCAAATATTTTGGTAATATGAATCCGAAGTCCATACTAGCATTTGTTTAGGTTGAAATACCAAGGTTACTTTTAGAACACTCCAAGCAATCATGATCAGTAACCCATCATGCACTACCCTTAAAATTGCACAAAAATAAAAAGTTAAAAAAAATATTAAATTTACGTGAAGATAAAAACAAATAACATAAAAATTGTATAATTATACCCAAAGTTTAATGAACAAATTACTACATATACTACCTCAATGAAAATCAACCAATTATTGGTCCCTTCACCTTCCCCTTCCCCTTTTTCAAGATAGTATGCTGGAGGACTGCAATCCAAGCATACTACATTACAAGGTTAATTGAATATGACCTTTTAACCTTGATTAATGTAGTATGCTTGGATGGCAGTCCTCCAGCATACTATCTTGATGAAGGGGAAGGGGAAGGTGAAGGGAGCAATAACTGGTTGATTTTCCTTGAGATAGTATATGTAGTTATTTGTTCATTAAACTTTAATTTGGATATGATTATACAATTTTTATGTTATTTGTTTTTATCTTCATGTAAATTTAATATTTTTTTGACTTTTTATTTTTGTGCAATTTTAAGGGTAGCGCATGATGCATTACTGCTCATAATTGCTTGGAGCGTTCTAAAAGTAACCTTGGTACTTCAACCCAAACAAATGCCAGTATGGACTTCGAATTCATATTAACAAAATATTCGAAATGGAATCCTAGTATAAAGACATTGGCAAATTATTGTGTGGACCATAACAAGAAGTACATTTTAATATACTAAATGTAGATTATTTTTGTAATGTATGTACATTATACAATATAATGTACACTCAATACAAAATAATATACATCCCATGAATACAATGTACATTATTTTTGTACTGAATGTACATTATTTTTTATTGAATATACATTATTTTATAATATACAAAATAAGGTCCACACAATAATAATTGTAATACATTGCAATGCACTTTTATGTGTTCTAGTATTTATATTTTATTTATTATACTTATATAACAAGTTGAAGAATCGGATACAGACAAAATCACTTACTAGCTTACTTTGTACGAGTCAATATATTTAAAGTGATTTGATTTGGGTTGGTACAAACAATAATTACTTGTGGACATAATTAATCAAAATATTTAATTAAATGAATTAGTTATAAATTAGAATTTGAGATTTTTTTTTTATTTTGTATAATAAAAAACAATTGCATAGTCTTTTTTGATCGGGTGATTCAAAGGTTCAAAATTTTCAACTAAAAGTTTTAATTGATAATTGGACTGTTAATTTCTATATATATATATATATATATATATATATATATATATATATATATATATATATATATATATATATATATATATGTATGTATAGTTATTTGTAATGGTATATACAATATGTAAGGTTATTAACTATTTGCTTTTAAATCTTGATTATTAGCTATTTCTCTATTTATTTTGCTTTTCATATTGGACTTTTCGAAAATAAAAAATAAAAAATAGAAGTATTCAATGTGAATGAAAAATATAAAACATATTCACGGCTATTTTCTTCCAGGAAACAACAGTGTTTTTCTTAATAAAATTAATTTATAATAATGTCAGTTATTCACAGAAATTTTCTTTTCACGGCTATTCACAGAAATTTGCTTTTCATGGCTATTCACAGAAATTTTCTTAAAGCACTACTCATAAAAAGTTTTAATGTCGATTTTAAAAAGAAAAAACTTTAAACATCATTTTTAGGTGTAGTAGATGCTTGCAAATAATATTAGAAAAATCAAAAGAAAACCTATTCAAATAAAATATAATCCGCAAAACTTTCTATGATGGGTTTTAATAAAACTCACAATATTCCTTATAAATTTACAATAATTTTAAAAACAAAACTAATATTGTATTTCAAAAAAAAATTAACAAACATTTACAATAAATGTTACTATTCACGAGATATTAACAATAATTCACAAAGATTAATAATAAATCAAAATAATTAACAAAAAGTCACAAATATCCATAATAATTCGAAATAATACCACATTCATCCAAAAAATAATCAAAATGATTTCTAAATTAAAGAAATTAAAAATAAAAAACAAAAAAAAATACCTGACCAAGGAATATGACTAAGGTCGAGTTGCTATGGTCTCAATAACAAGGAGAGTGAGGAATTGAAATTGTTGTTTAGTGGTTCTCGAGGGAGAGGGAGAGGGAGAGTGAGGGCATTGAAGTCTCTGGCTGTAGAATTTATAGCGATAGTAGCTATGAAGGGATGGGGATAACTATGGGATGGGGAGGGGGAAATGAAGGGATGGGGGCATTAATGTCTCATAGCTACGGTTTTGCTTTTATTAATTACTAGAGGGATGGGAGGGGAAAGGGAAGAAGACTTGTTAATATGTTCAATGAAAATTTAATTTTATTTGTGGATGTTTTGATTTAATTTATGTTTGTTGAGACACACAGCTATTGATTGAAGAGAGCTTTAATGGGATATTAGGGGTTAATTAATATTTACAAGTAATAGTTATATTTATAGTTGTAATTTAATTGATTTCTTGTTGAATGAATTTGATAATTTAATTGACAATAATTATTGTTTATTTATTTAACAACTTTAGTACAGTTTGCACTACACATGTATGTATAGGCCAAAAAACATTGTCCATAGCCAAATCAATCATTCAATAGGGAAGAACAAATTTAAAACTCTTTTTTTCCTTACAAAAGGATGTCTTTACCAATTATATCCGGCTCCAAATTATTTGTTGGGATGAATTAATTGACAATTCTAAACATTTTATAAAATTTGTAATTACAAACATGCTAATAAAAATAATACAATTAAAACTCTACTGTCATTGCTTATAAATTTTAAACTCATCTTTTTCATTTATCAAAAAATAAATAATTCAATTTAAGACATGAATTCTGTATATTATGAAGTCAAAATATGTGCATTGAACCAGAGTCGACAGTGCATTGGGGACCCTGGTCCACAATATAACGATGGGAGGTGGCTTGAGCAAATCCTAACTGTAAGATACATCTTTAAGCTCGTACCATACTCAGACTAATCTTTATTGTGCTGACCAGATTAATTTTTTCATATGAGAAGAGATTTGAACTTCTAATCTCTCTTAAAGGATAAGAGTGCACAACTACTCACACCAATTAGTTTACTCTTTGGGATTTTGGTAATGTTAAGATAGATAAAGGGGATATTGATAGTGGTCATAGGCTTAGAACTGTGAAAGAGAGTGACTCTCAACTCTTTGGTGCAATGATGGCCGGATGGACAAAGGCATGGGCATAAATACATACAAACAAAAATCATCAATGCTATGCACCAAAAAGAAAATCATCAATGGTCATACATCACATCTTTGACATTAATTTAAAGTGTGCATAGGAAAATTGTGATTGACGTTGGAATACACCAGATAGTATTACGTGTGAAAAAAAAAAAAATCTTTTTTCAGTGTTTACATGTACAACAGAAAATTAAATTGTCTTTGTGCATTTTGTTCATTTTTCAGAAAATTAACATAATTGTATACTTCAACATTTTAATAATTATATACTCAAAAAAAAACATTTTTTATTGGTTTGTTTTAAATATAACAACTTTTATTTTAAATTCCATGCAATATAAGTTTTGGGTTGTATTCAATCATACATTTTTCAGTTAGTAGAAAAAGAAATTATTGTAAAGAATAATGAGTATAAAGACAAATGTACCCCTACACAACAATAATAATAATAATAATAATTATTATTATTATTATTATTATTATTATTATTATTGTAAAGAATAATGAGTATACAGACAAATGTACCCCTACACAATAATAATAATAATAATAATAATAATAATAATAATAATTATTATTATTATTATTATTATTATTATTGTTGTTGTTGTTGTTTTTATTATTATTATTATTATTATTATTATTGGTGAGGGCAAAATTATCCTAATAATTTTTCATGGAAATTAAAACAAAATATTAAGCGTTTGGTTCAGGTTATATTACATAACCAAGGGAATCTGACATTCCCGAGCTTGCATACCTATGTTTGGTTCATATTCTCTGAGGGAATATTACATTCCCAGGGAATGCAACATTCCCTCCACACAGGATTTTGAAGGGAATGTGATTCCCTTCATTTTGTTAGGTAATGTAAGATAACCTTGTATATTCATAAATTTTGTCATTTTAATTCTAATTATTTAAAGACATATATTTTATATTATTATTATATATAATTATTTTTGTAATTATATTATATATATTTTTTTATTACGTTAGCATATAAAATAATTTTATTTCTCAAGTTCAAGATTTTAGTTAATATTTTAAAATCATGTAATTATATATGATATCGTTATCTTATTTATTTAATTTAATTTTTAAATTTATTAAAATATATGAAAATATGTTAAGGATACTATATATATATATATATATATATATATATATATATATATATATATATATATATATATAACCCTAAACCAAACATGATTATATTACATACCTCAATTTTAACCAAACACAGGAATCTAACATTCCCAGTAATCTAACATTCCCAGCAATCTAACATTCCCTAAGGTAATCTAACATTCCGTGAACCAAACGGCCCTAAGGGTGAGCTAAGTAAAAATCGGTTGCCTAACAATAATCCCCTTACTTCCAACACTACTACATAACATGATTTTAATAGAATTCAAACCCTTGTGACATATTCTGGCACTCATTGTCAGAATCGCCAAAAATCTATAATCAGTAATAAATACACAACTTTATTTCTTTATACATGGGTTAGCATTGAGCGCCACGTTTATACGTCTGGGTGTGGTACCCGACCCTTCAAACCCCCATCCAACAATTATATTAATATTCCGCTTACAAATTGTCTTAAGATAAATTATTTATTTTTTGATAAATGAGAAAAGATGTGATAAATTATCTTTAATTCAAAATGTTTAAAATTTATTTTAAAAATTATAAGCAATGACGGCAGAGTTTTAATTGTATTATTTTTTATTAGCATGTTTGTAATTACAAATTTCATAAAATGTATAGAATTGTCAATTAAATCATCTCAACAAATAATTTGGGGCTGGTCCTGATTTAATAATTGGTAAAGACATCCTTATTGTTAAGAAAAAAAAAAAAAAAAACTCATAATTTGTTCCTCCCTAGCGATTGGATAGCTGATTTGGCTATCGACAATGCTTTTGGCCTATACATACATGTGTAGACTGTGTAGTGCTTGCACTAGTTTAGTCAAACTGTGCTAAAACTTATATTTTATGAAATAAATAAACAAAAAATTATTGTCAATTAAATTATGAGATTCATTCAACAAGAAATCAATTAAATTACAACTATAAATTAAATATAATTATCACTTGTAAATATTAAGTAACCCTAATATCCCATGAGATCGGCAAATTACAGTTGTGTGGACTACGGTCCAAAACGACGTTTTTTTTTTTTTTTTTTTTTTTTTTTTTTTTTTTTTTTGTGATTATTATAAATAAATATGCACTCATTTCTTAGTTTTAAAACTCAAAACATACTTCTATTCAAAAAATTGAAGTTCGAGCTCGACTCGAGTCTAACCAAATTCTAATTTATAGAGTTTGAGGTTTACTTAGCTTAAGCTTGAGCTAGAGCTATTTGAACTTGACTTGAATAAGTTTAACAAAAGTATGGGTATGTAGATATATGTATAGTTATAGTATAGTTTAGTAAAATATTGACTTAAAGTATATAATTTGGAAATTTAGATTTAATTTTTTATTGATATGTTTTTCTATGTAAAATTACTTTTTGATTTGAAAAAATAGTTTTTAAGAAATTACTTCAAAAATAAAAATTCACCTAATGATTAAAAAAACGTTAATATAAACTTTTTACAGCGCAGCTCAATTATACCGATAAATTTTAATTACCAAGAATATAACATAATGCTTGGGTAAATTAATTATTGCATGTTCTAATACTATAGAATTGCTTGTATGGCTGATTATAAATCAGTTCAATATTTTTAAACTGAAATTTAGAAAAGCATTAACAGTGAAGGGCTGAAGGCATTAATATATAGAAAAACAAATAGAAATAAAATAAATCATAACGTATGTATGGTATGTATTAATTGGAAAAGAGGGAAAAAGAATGAATAAAGGGTTTAAAGGGAAACATGGGTTGTGTAGCATATATTTAGAAAAATTGAACAACATGACCTGTGGTGTGTTTCAAAATCATAACAAACTAGTATATATAACAAGTTGAATAATGGGAATATAGACACATCACTTATAAGCTTACTAGTAGTGATATATGCAACATGTAAGGTTATTAACTATTTGTTTTTAAAATGATGTTAGCACCATACACGCTTTTAGTAAATTAGATTATTAGCTATTTTATTTATTTATTTTGCATTTCAGATTGAATATTTTAAGAATAGGAGCTAACTGCTACGTAAGTATAACAAAAGACGCTCAAGTTAGTACTTGATCTGACAATTTGTATTAGAACATGTCACGTGTTTGATTTCACCTAACAATTGGTTCATAGTAACAGACTAACACGTCTTGGTATCATAGCAACATTGACTTAAAATCATGCTAGAACTATTCAAACTTGACTTGAATATGTAATTCATATTCAATTTTTAGAAAAGAAAAAAAAAAAACAAGAGTTTTGCTTGTAGGAATTATTAAATGAAAGATGCAAAAAAAAAAAAAGTATGAGAATTAAATGATGATACAATCCCATATTGGCTCCACAAGAGATTGTGGAGTGGTACTTAAGTTGGGGCCAAACCTCTACTCATAAGCTATCTTTTGTGGTGGAGTTAGGGTCTTGGCTTGAGTACGGTATCATTTGGTGCTCTCATTGAGAAGTCAGAGTGTGGTGAGAAAGGGTTACCCGGTGCTTGATAAGATTCAAAGGGAACTGAGAAGAGTTCGGAGTGAAAAGAGCTACCTGGTGCTTGATAAGGTTTGGTCGGCTTCTCAAGGGGTACGGTGGCCAATGATATGATCCTACATTGGCTTTACAAGAGATTGTGAAAAAATTAACAAAATTACATATGGGAGGGTTACCATCCAAACATACTACATTTCAATATTAAAAAGTCGTATTCAATTATTAGGTAATATTATCAAATTGTACAAAGTAGGAACACTGATTAAAATTAAAGACAAATCATAAAATGGTGAAATTTTTTCTTGCTTCTTGGGCATTGAGTTT